CCCACCATGCATTCCCGCCTCAGGACACCCTGCCCCGACCAAGTCATATTTACTCCCTGGTAATCAAAGTATTGGATGGTGTGGAGAACTCATAAACTGTCTCTGTGAGGAGCACTACAGGCCTGGCCTGAGAATCTGGAAGTAATGGCTCAGACCTGGCCCCTCCTGCACTGGAGTCCTCCCCTCCTCCAGGGTCTGACACAGAGTAGATGCCCAAGAAATGCCAGAAGCCTCTGTGTTACAGTCAGGGCTCGTGGCCAGTGCTCCAGAGGGTCCCAGCTATCGAGTTTACTGTTTTGAAGTCTGAATGGTGTTATCTTCAAGTTTGTGGGGGGTTTTTTTGTTTGTTTTGTTTTGTTTTTGAGATGGAGTCTCACTCTGTCACCAGGCTGGAGTGCAGTGGCATGATCTTGGCTCACTGCAACCTCTGACTTCAAGGTTCAAGTGATTCTCCTGCCTCAGCCTCCCTAGTAGCTGGAATTACAGGTGCATGCCACCATGCCGGACTAATTTTTGTATTTTTAGTAGAGATGGGGTTTCACCATGTTGGCCAGGATGGTCTTGATCTCTTGACCTCAGGTGATCCACCCGCCTTGGCCTCCCAAAGTGCTGGGATTACAGGTGTGAGCCACTGCACCCAGCCAAGTTTGTGCTTTGTAAGTGAAGTCGGATGGGACAGTGCATATGTGCAGGGGACTTGGTAGGCAGCTCTCACATGGTCCTGCCTCCTGCCGCCTTGAAGCCTCCTGGGATCTTGGCCTTCTGCTCTCCTGGCCTCTGGCTTCTCAGCCCCATCCCCCTAGCTTTCTTCTCCCTGCCCCTGCTGGCCTCCCTCCAAGCCAGAGCCTGGGTACAGGTAGGGCTGAGGTTCAGTGCTCATATTCCACCATGTCTTGGAGCAAGGCAGCTGTCTCCACCCTAGGCTGGCAGTGCCATAGAACATTCCAAGGGTGATTCAGAGGGAAAATACCTCTCATTTACCTAGTGCATTTCAGCGTGGATATTGCAATACTCTTGTCTACCTGGATTTGGCCATCTGTCCTGGGAGGGGCAGATGCTTGGCTCAACTTTCCAACTGTCACTCATGGCATGGTTTGTCAGCCCAGTGGCTAGCAGGAGGGGGAACCTGGGTGCAGGTGGGGCCTGTGTGTGTGTGTGTGTGTGTGTGTGTGTGTGTGCGCGCCAGGCTAAGGAGCAGGGGTTCTGGGGTCCTGGGGGGTCCTGCACTCATCCCTTAAGTATTCCTGGGCATGAGGAAACACAGTGATTATTTGTTTGTTTGTTTTTGAGACAGAGTGTCACTGTCGCTTGGGCTGAAGTGCAGTGGTGTGATCTCAGCTCACTGCAACCTCCACCACCCAGGTTCAAGTGATTCTTCTGCCTCAGCCTCCTGAGTAGCTGGGATTACAGGTGTGTCCCACCATGCCTGGCTAATTTTTTTTGTATTTTTAGTAGAGATGGGTTTCGCCATGTTGGCCAGGCTGATGCCTAACTCCTGACCTCAGGTGATCCTCCCGCCTTGGTCTCCCGAAGTGCTGGAATTACAGGCGTGAGCCACCGTACCTGGCCTGGAAACACAGTGTTAAGTCGCAAGTAGAAAACACCATGACAGGTCTTAGAGCATCCTCAGAAAAAAGGAAAACGTCATATTTCAGTACCTTTAGCAACATTTTTTTTCTGTTTGCAGAAGGGACCCTCCATTTTCTCTTTGCAGGGGACCTTCCTAATTATGCAGCTGGTTTTAGGTAGAGTGTGATAGAAAAAGCAGGAAGTTTGGATTTGGAAGCGTCTGCAAGTCCCTTCACCTCTTCAGGCCTTGGATTTCTCATCTGTGGATGGGTTTCCTTCCCAAGGCCGTGCTTTCTCACACCCTCACTTTGCCTTGAACTTGACATTCTATACACATGATCTTGCTGGCTGCTTGGAATGCCTGCCGTTTTCTCTGCTGCCAAAACTCAAATCTCTGCACTGGCACATGCTTCCTTGGGGTCCTCCGTCAGGATGAGTATTTCCCCCTTCCCTCTCTCTCCGCTGGCCTTGCCTCTCACTGAAGTTAGCGGTGGCTGTTCTGCACAGAGGTGCTCTTGCTTTACACTCACACCGACTACTCATCGCTACAGTCCCTAGCACAGGGCTTGACCCATAGAAGGTGTTTTTTTGAATGCGTGTCTTAATTTCTCTGCTAGGCCCCGGTTCTGCTGGGTGGTTGAAGCTGACTTTCCTTCTTTCTTTTTCTTTGGGAAGGAGTCTCACACTGCCACCCAGGCTGGAGTGCAGTGGTACGATCTCGGCTCATTGCAACCTCCGCTCCCAGGTTCAAGTGATTCCCCTATCTCAGCCTCCCAAGTACCTGGGATTACAGGTGCCCACCAACATGCCCAGCTGATTTTTTGTATTTTTTTTAGTAGAGATGGGGTTTCACTATGTTGGCCAGGCTGGTCTCAAACTCCTGACCTCATGATCCACTTGCCTCGGACTCTTGAAGGGCTGGGACTACCGGAGTGAGCCACCACGGCCGGGCTGAAGCTGACTTTCTTTGGGGGCACCGAAGTGTCATAGGCCTTGGCTGGTGCTCAGACCTGATGCTGGTCTTTGCTCCCTGTCTACCTGGATGGGGCCATCTGCCCTGGGAAGGGCAGATGCTTGACTCAGCTTTCCAACTGTTACTCACAGCATGGTTTGTCGGCAGGAGGAGGAACCTGGGTGCTGGTGGGGACTGTGTGTGTGTGTGTGTGTGTGTGTGTGTGTGTGTGCACGTGCGCCAAGCTAAGGTGTGTTTCTGTCCACACCTGTGCTGCTCTTGCACCTAGGAAACAGCCTGTGTCCACCCTATTGTGCTGTGTAGGGACGGCTCTATGAGGGTGTCCAGGTCTCTGTTCTCTATCTGGGCCCCTTCTTGGGCCTAGGCTTTGTCACAGGCCCTGGACCTGGGGAGTGCTGTGAGCTGGCATCTAACATTAGTCATTGATTCTCTCTATCTGGCTCCACCTGGGATCATGATGAAGACAAAAGGGACAAGGTCTTACATCAATTGTTAGAAGTAAATAAGTAAATAAAACAAGAATCAGGGCTGGGCGTGGTTGCCCACGCCTGTAATCCCAGCACTTTGGGAGGCCGAGGTGGATCATGAGGTCAGGAGATCAAGACCAGCCTGGCCAACATGGTGAAACTCTGTTTACTAAAACACAAAAAATTAGCCAGGTGTGGTGGTGGGTGCCTGTAGTCCCTGCTACTCGGGAGGCTGAGTCAGAGGAATTGCTTGAACCTGGGAGGTGGGGTTTTCAGTAAGCTGAGATTATGCCACTGCACTCCAGTCTGGTGACAGAGGGAGACTCCATCTCAAAAAACCAACCAAGAATCAGAGCAATCCTCACTTATTGAATACCTGTTATGTACCTGGCTGTGATCTGAAGGCTTTACATATATATATATATGTATATATATATATATATATATATATATATATATATATATAATTTTATTTTTTGAGCCTGAGTCTCATTCTGTTGCCCAGGCTGGAGTGCAGTGGCATGATTTCAGCTCACTGCAACCCCTACCTCCCAGGTTCAAGTGATTCTCCTGCCTCAGCCTCCCTAGTAGCTTTGGGATTACATGTGTATGCCACCATGCCCAGCTAATTTTTGTATTTTAGTAGAGATGGGGTTTCACCATATTGGCCAGGCTGGTCTCAAACTCCTGACCTCAGGTGATCTGCCCACCTCTGTCTCCCAAAATGCTGGGATTACAGGCATGAGCCACTGTGCCCAGCCAGCTTTACAAATATTAATTATTTAATATCCACAGTAATCCTCTGAGGCAGGTACCAGTACCATCCCCATTTTATAGATTAGAAGACTGAGGCTTATACAGGTTGTGAAACTTGCCCAAGGGTCCATGGTTCATAAGCGAAGAAACTGGCATTTGAATCCAGGTAGCCAATCATAATGCAGTGCCACTCAAGGCCTTTCAGGACTTTGAGGTTCTTAGAGAGCACTGGATCCTTGCTATTTTGTAGGAATGAGCCTAGAGAGGGAGAGTGACGTGCCTCATGTCACACAGCAGGCCAGAGGGAGCCTGAAACAGAGTCAGCCTCCAGCCTCCCAACTGTATGCTCCTCCCCCTATTTACCCCTGCCTGTTTTTGAGAAAGCCCGGGGGCCAGGATCCCAGGATTCAGAGAACAGGGGCCATGAAGGCGGCCTTGGCAGGCAAAGGGCCACAGAAACAGGGTAACAGATTCTGATGGGCACATCTGGAGAAGTTTCGTATGGGAGGCAGGCACGGGGTCAGGAAAGGAGTCATCCACAAGACCCCGGAGTGTGGGTGGCGGAGATGGAGGACCTTCCTAGACTGGAGTTGCCATTGGGTCCTGCAGGGGAAGAAACTAGGTAGCTTTGCATGGGGAAGAGTTCTCGAGTCCCTAGGGGAGACCAGGATGTGACTTTGCTTTGTGCCTTGGAACCCTTCCTCAGAGAACTGGGGTCCTAGAGGAAGATGCAGACACGTTTTGGGAGGGAACTTCTGCGGAAGCTTTGTTCCTGGGGAGTGTACAGTGTTTAGGAGTGGCCACAGGAGGTGTCCGGGGGGCAGTGGGATGTGCAGATCCAGAACTAAGGAGAGAGGCCTGGACCAGAGGCAGAGCCCTGGCAGTGGTCTGTGGGCTTGGAGTTCAATGCTGACCCTCAGAGGAGAGAGTGAGTATAGAGAGGTAGGCAACTCCTGCAAAGCAGCTGCTTTACAGAGGAGGGAGGAGACAGAGGTGGAAAGGCCCAAGGAGGCAGAAGAGCCAGGCCATGCTCTCACCAGGCATCAGGTGTGGCATGCAGAGCCAAGGGCTGGGTCAGGGCAGGGCAGAGCAGGGCATGATGTGGTGGGAGATACCTCTGCCCATCCCAAGCTCCAGAGTGAGGGGCAGAGGCAACTACAAGCAGCCTCCCTAGGAAATCCAGTGCCTGGCAACAGTGACAGGGATCTGCTCACAATTCTTTTCTTTTTCTGCAGGAGAAGGGACCGCACCATGCACATCCAGCATCCTCCAGGAGAAGCAGCGTGAGTCAAGCCTGACCCCATAGGGTCATTTCTTCCCCTTGGGTGGGTCCAAGCTTGTTGGAGCCTGGAACGGTGGCAGGATCCCTGTCATCTTTCTACAGGCAGGACCAGAGAGCACGGGGTCATTCAGCCTAAGTTTGGGCCACTCTCTACCCCATGAACTGAGCCCTTAGGGTTCCTGAGTTCCTATCACTGGCAGCTCAGGCCAGCTCACGTCCTCCTCTCTGGGGATTCCACAGGGCCAGAGTGAGGGGTGGAGGCTGGTGGGCTGGGAGCGTGAGCTCAGCCGAGCAGATGAGATCATGGCGTGGGGACAGAGAGATGAGGACAGGAATGGGGAACACCACTCCTGTGTCCATCCCCTATGGGCAATACAGCTTCCAGGAACCACTGATGGTCTCATGGTGTCAGTCACCATGACACCATGTTCAGAGATACCTCATTCAGGGATGTGCCAGGGGTGACAATCCTCAGTATTGCTCCATGAAGAGGCTGCCTCTCTACAAAGCCTGTGGCCCTGTGGCGGAGTCCTTGTCCTCTGTGTTATACAGGCATCTCCAGATTTCCTTCCCCTTGCGTTGTCTCAGAGAGATGAGCACCGTATTGGACCCAGGAAAGACTTGGTCAAGATGTGTCCATTTGCTGATATAGTGACCTCAGGACGCCTTTCTGGGAGGACTCAGTGGCCAATGTCTGGGCCAGATGTCTTTGCTGTTGGTGGTATTGCCTTTCACATGTGGCTGGGTCAGGAGAGGAGCCCATATATCTTTGGGGCAGGGTTGTGCTCAGAACTTTCCTGACTTCTCTCTCCTGCTCCCTTTATCTGTGGTTGCAGCTTTGCAGGGGGGTGGTCAGTCCATTCTGCCCACCACCTCCCCAGGCTCAGGCCTGTGGTTGCCCTGCAAGCTCTTTCATCCCTCAGTTTCATCCCTCAATTGCTAGTACCTGAGTGGAGGCACCTGTGACACCAGCCTTCCTATGGCCTGTAATCTAGCCTTGAGTGGGTGAACAGGCATCCCCTGTGGGAGAATCTTTCTTTCTTTTCTTCTCTTGCTCTGTCACCCAGGCTGGAGTTCAATGGCACCATCTCAGCTCACTACAACCTCTGTCTCCCAGGTTCAAGTGATTCTCCTGCTTCAGCCGCCTGAGTAGCTGTGATTACAGGCTCCCACTTCCACGCCCGGCTAATGTTTGTGTTTTTAGTAGAGACGTGGTTTTGCCATGTTGGCTGAGTTAGTCTGGAACTCCTGACCTCAGGTGATCCACCTTGGCCTCCCATAGTGCTGGGATTACAGGTGTGAGCGACTGTACTCTACCTGGAGAATCTTATTCTGCTTCTAACATTCAATGGAAATTTCATAGACAAAGCCCTTCAGGGGCCGGTAGGTGTGAATGTCTTTGTCAAGGGTACCCCAAGGCCCAGGCCACAGGGGCATCAGGCCATGGACAGGGCAGGGCAGAGAGAGGGCAGTTCTCTTTCCTGAGGCTTGTAGGTATAAGGAACTGAGCTCAGCACAAGGGGACCGTGTTAAAATGTACCTGTGGGTCTTTAATATATAGAGGTGACTGAGCATGTGGAGAGGCTCATGTCATCAAAAGATTTGTCTGGGTACAGTGGCTCACGCCTGTAATCCCTGTACTTTGGGAGGCTGAGGCAGGTGGATTGCCTGAGCTCAAGAGTTCGAGACCAGCCTGGTCCACATGGTGAAACCTTGTCTCTACTAAAATGCAAAAGTTAGCCGGGCATAATAGCATGCGCCTGTAGTCCTAGCTACTCAGGAGACTGAGACAGGAGAATTGCTAGAACCTGGAAGGCGGAGGTTGTGGTGAGCTGACATTGCGCCATTGCACTCCAGCCTGGGCAACAGAGTGAGACTCAGTCTCAAAAAAAAAAAAAAAAAGATTTTCAGCACAGGTTTCAAGAGATGGGGCCCACACCACCCAGGGCCACAGGGAAAGCACTGGGATTGGTCAGGAGACTGAAGAGCCAGGAATCCAACTCAAGGCTGGATTCCAAGTCATAGGAAGGCTAGTGTCATAGACGTCTTTACCTCAGAACAGCAACTAAGTGAGGAAAGAGGTTGGAGAGCAGCCACAGGCCTGAGCATGGGGACCTGGTGGGTAGAGTGGACTGGGTCCCCCAAAGCTGCAAGGCCCAGAGCCCTTGTTGGGTTTTCTGCAGGAAAGCCAGGACAGAAAAGGAGAACCATGTAGGGCTGGCTGATTTGAGTGTCGAGGTCTCTGGGCTCTAGGGCTGGTGTCTTGTTGTCTGGTAGCTGGCCTTGGGGTGATTTTGGGCCAGGGAAATATTGCCTTGGTGGGTGAGAGTTAGACAGAGAAGGTGGTTAGGGATATGGGTTTGGGATGGGCTCGTCTGCCTGTGAAAGGTACCCTCAAAGGGAGTGGTTATTACCTCTAGGAATTAGCCAGCCCTGGGAGGGGCTGTCTCTTCCTGGCCAGTGAGGCTCCCGAGATGTCAAAACATTATAAAATAACAAGCACGATTAATACAGGGGTGTCACCACATTCCCCACGAATGCAGGAGAGGAGAAGAACCCATCATCTCCCCTTCTGGGCATTTAGCCAAAGGAAACCACAGAGGCAGCCCTGAAGCAAGAACGGCTACCCGACGCGGGGCTTATCTCCAGGATGCCAAATCACAGCTCCGTTTTCCACAGACACAGTTGAATTGATGAGATGTTTAGTGACCTCTGGACCTGGCTGAAAAAAAGTTGTGTTTAAATAGAGGCAAAGTCTTTTTTTTTTTTTTTTTCCAGTTACAGATTTTAGTTAGAATTCTATTGCTAAAAGTTGTCATCAAATTCTGTTCCTTAAGAATGTTCCTATTGGATTGGCCGCGGTGGCTCGCACCTATAATCCCAGCACTTTGGGAGGCCAAGGCAGGTGGATCACAAGGTCAGGAGATCGAGACCATCCTGGCTAACAAGGCGAAACCCCGTCTTTAATAAAATTACAAAAAATTAGCCTGGCGTGGTGTCACGTGCCTGTAGTCTCAGTTATTTGGGAGGCCGAGGCAGGAGAATCGCTTGAACCCAGAAAGTGGAGGTTGCAGTGAGCCGATATCACACCACTCCACTCCAGCCTGGGCTACAGAGTGAGACTCTGTCTCAAAACAAAAAGCAATATTCTTATCAGGCCAGGAGCAGTAGCTCATGCCTGTAATCCCAGCACTTTGGGAGTCAGAGGTAGGTGGATCACCTGAGGTCAGGAGTTTGAGACCAGCCTGGCCAACATGGTGAAACCCCATCTCTACTAAAAATACAAAAATTAGCTGGGTATGATGGTATACACCTGCAATCCCAACTATTCGGGAGGCCGAGGCAGGAGAATTGCTTGAACCCGGTAAACAGAGGTTGCAGTGAGCCAAGATCCCGCCACTGCACTCCAGCCTGGGTAACAGAACACGACTCGGTCTCAAAAAAACAAAAAAGAATGTTTTTATTTAGCAAAGAATGGCATCATATATGCAGATGAATTTTGGAGCTGAAATGGTACCTTGGAGGTCGTCTAGGTTGGGGATGCCCCAGTGAACCCAACATTTTCAGCAGTGAGGAAAATAATAACACTGTAATGAGTTTTTCCATATGTTGAATGTATTCAATAGAGAGGACTCCTTTTCACATAATTCTACAATTATGTCCTGCCTGTTTTTGGCATTAAAATGCTTTTCCTTTTAAGAAACAACGGTGATGATCGATGGTAATGTGTTTGTTTATTTTTAGTGCAATATTGGCAGAAGAAAAGTCTGTGACCTGAATTAAGAAAAGAATAATAGCCATGCCTTGCATTTATAATGGTGCTTTTCCACATAAAGTATACCTGCATGCAAATTATCTTATTTAATTGTTCCACTGGTTTTTTGAAAACTCACTAAAAACAAGTTTGTGAGGTGGTAAAAACTGCCCTGGAACCAGGAGTCAGAAAATCCTGGGACTGGTGTGATGGTGTCTGCGATTGTGGGGCAGTAAGGCCTTGGTCTGACTCAGCTTCTCTTGTTTCGTAGCTGTGACATTTTGGGCAAGTTACTTGATGTCTGTGAACCTCAGTTTACTCAGTTGTGGAAAGACGACCATACTGTCTGCTTCTTAGAGTTTCTGAGGGCACCAGAGATGATATACGTGAGATCCTATGATCCAAGCAGGGTGGATAGAAAGTATCTGATGGTTCTCACCTGTTATCGGACGATGTGCCTTGGGAGCTGGAACACCTGGTGCACATGTGACGATGAATCTTATCAATGGAGCTCTCAGTCTTTCCAGTGCTCTGTTTGTCCTGTGGCTGCCTCAGTTGCCATTGTCACAGCAGTGGTTTCTCAAGCGTTGGAGTCCCCAGAGAGGAGGACATGACCTGGCCAGAGACCACTGGACCTCTTGGGTTGGGAGCATGGGGAGGGAGGCCTCCATGGGTCTCTCAGGGCACGTGCACATATGTGGTGGCAAGGCCTTGTCTGCAGCGGCTATGCCAGGAGGGGTGTCCTGGACACTTTCTCCTTCATGGCTGCCCCAGCTTTCATTGTGTGCTTGGACAGGCTTGTAGCCTGCTGTCACTGGCACGAGCCTGATATTTGAAACCAAACTAGGGGAAGCCAAGGGAGCCACTGTGTGTGGAGCTCACAAGGGGGGCAGAGGAGAGAGAGGGCCTTGGACTTGGGGGAGGAGATCCGGGCTCCCTCCTGCCGAGTTGCTGTGCAGTCTCAGCTGCTGCCTGAGGCGCATTGGTCTGTACATGGAGTCCCTCCTGGGTCTGACATTTTCGGGGTCTTCTGTGCCACGTATCTGCCCCCTGGCCTCCTCTGTCTGTACCTCTGTTTCTGCCCTGTTCATGCTGCTCTGTTAGCACAGTGGCCATTTCCAGAGCGCTTCCAGCAAACCTGCCGTGGTGCTGGCTGTAGGGCCTCAGGGAGCTTACGTGCTTCACTTGAGCCTCACTCCTGTGTTCCCTCCAGTGTGAATGGCACCGTCCTCCATGAATCCAAGCCA